TAGTCGTGTCTTAATTTCTCTGTCCACGTATGTAAATCTGCTCTACAAACTCATCGTTTAGTATCGAGCACTCTCACCTGGAATAATCGACTACCTTCCTATATATATATATATATGTGTAAAATGTTCAGTGAAGATGGTCTCATAGAAATGAAATACTGTGTATGAATATAGTATAACACAACAATAGTGTAAAGAGAAATTAATACAATTGATAACTTACTCTGCCACAGGACTATTTTTAGGTTTACTTAGCCGGATGCCATCAGTAAATTCTGTTGGGTTTTCAGGTTCCTATAGGAAAATAATGACAGCAACACATATAAATATTATATAACATTACAGTATAAGAATAGTTACAGTCAGTCATATCTTAATTATTCAGTTTACATCAAATTTGTTATGGGTTACATGTATGTGCACTTCTGTTTGAGATGTACTTCTAACAAAGCAAATACTAAAGGTGAAACATCCATTCACAAGAAATTTACAATAAAATTCCATGATTTTTTCACATTCTGCCACTGATGGAATTTCAAACAGTACATCATCCATCAGATAGAGAAGTGAGCATGTCAAGTCTAATAATTGAGACATAAAATACATCTCTGAAATTTACAAAATGATAACTGATCAATTATTTACCAGCATTTGGTTATAATACAGCATGGAGATAATTCAGCTTACCGTTGGTGAATCATTAGAACCATCAATACCAAGATGAAACACTTTGACGATGAATTCATATTCTGCTTGTACTACTGGTTCTATTTCTGCCAATAACTTCTGAAATATCTGAAATTATACACAGTCCAATTGATGTCAGTGGGTCAGTAAGTGAGGTCAAACATTTATGAAGTCCTAGACCCCAAAACTGAGGGAATGTCACATTATGAGTCTTCAGACCCACATATACTGAAGGAAGGTCACATTTTGAGTCTCCAAGCCCACATATACTGAGGGAATGTCACATTTTGAGTCTTCAGGCCTACATATACATTTTGTACTGAGAGAATGTCACATTTTAAGTCTTCAGGCCCACATATACTGAGGGAATGTAATATTTTGAGTCTCCAGGCCCACATATACTGAGGGAATGTCACATTTTGAGTCTCCAAGCCCACATATACTGAGGGAATGTCACATTTTGAGTCTTCAGGCTGCCATATACTGAGGGAATGTCACATTTTGAGTCTTCAGGCTCCCATATACTGAGGGAACGTCACATTTTGAGTCTCCAAGCCCACATACACTGAGGGAATGTCACATTTTGAGTCTTCAGGCCCACATATACTGAGGGAATGTCACATTTTGAGTCTTCAAGCCCACATATACTGAAGGAATGTCACATTTTGAGTCTTCAAGCCCACATATACTGAAGGAATGTCACATTTTGAGTCTCCAAGCCAACATATACTGAGGGAATGTCCCACTTTGAGTTATTGGGCTCACATATATTGAGGGAATGTCACATTTTGAGTCTTCAGGCCCACATATACTGAGGGAATGTCACATTTTGAGTTTTCAGGCCCACATACATGTATACTGAGGGAATGTCACATTTTGAGTCTTCAGGCCCACATATACTGAGGGAATGTCACATTTTGAGTTTTCAGGCCCACATACATGTATACTGAGGGAATGTCACATTTTGAGTCTTCAGGCCCACACATACTGAGAGAATGTCACATTATGAGTCTTCAGGCACACATATACTGA